CAAAGGGTTTTTTTAATGCAAAATTTGGAAATTGCAAGTTAAAAATAGTGAGTGCATACATAGAAAAGTGTGCGTCTTGGGGCTAGGGCTGCAACAACTAATCGATTATAATCGATTATTGAAAAAGTTGTCAACTTTTTCAATAATCGATTAATCGAATTCCGATCAGTTGGCCCTGTTCACAGCTCCACACGCTGTGCGCCGCACCTCCTCCCCACCTCACGCTCGACGCTGCCAGACCTGCTCGCATCCATGCGCCGCACCTCCTCCCCGCCTCACATTTCCTGCCCATCCACGATCAGCTCTTCCAGAGGATCTCAGCTGCGTTGTAGGCAAGTGCAGGACCTGGGATTCTCTAGGACTGCAACTTCACAGCTCAGAGGTCATAGACTTTCTGCACCTCCCTCTTAGTATGGCATTATTATGCTCCTGGCACAGAACAATGTGGCAACAAAAGGCTTAAAGTGACATTAAAGTCAATTTTTTCCCCCTCCCCCCAATGTTAATTAAAGCACTTAATGGTTCTCCTTTAAATGATGTCTCTTAATCCGATCTTCCTCTTCTTTTCAGCCTTCTCTCCAGCGATGCGGCAAGTCTCCGATCCAGCGCTGACTCCTCTGTCCTTGCTGGCCCTTCCTGTCCCACGGTGTCTGCATGCGGGTGTTTAATAACCCTTTAAAGCCATTCCAAGCCACTCCAGGCACAAAAACTCTCACTTAAATATATTCCTAAATAGCCACAAAGAATATAAATCCACTTTGAGTGCACCAAATGCTTTTAGACCGGGGTGAGCAATTAATTTTCTCGGGGGGATACTGGGACGGCTCTAGAGAGCGGAACTAACTAACACATGGTACGGTAAAGTACGGCAGGTGAGTTGCGATTCCCTTGGACCCATTCTAGGGTCCAAAATAAAATTTAAAAAATATATATATTTAACAGAACCTCGGTCCTGCCTGGCTGCTAAGCCAGTCCCTGCAGCCTCTCTCCCCCTGCTAAGGATCCGTGAGTCATCATGTCTAATGCATTTGGGAGCGAGGCTGCAGGGACCAGTCTAGCAGCCAGGCGGGACCGATGTTCGGGTTAGTATATCTGTTATTTTAGACCCTAGACGAAAACAAGCACTCAATCCTTGCAGTCTGGGGACAGCCCAAATGCAAGGGTAAAGCTTTATTCCGCCCAGAGTTCTTCTTTAAATAAATTCCTCTACAGCTATTAAGGATATAAATCCACTTGGTGTACAGCAAATGCCTTTGCAAAGCTAGTTATTACCTTGTGAAAGTAGCGGTAACATCATCACTGTGCTGTACATAGCCTGTGCGGAGAGCAGAGCGTGGGAAGGGATCCAGCAGCTCCACCCACTACAAGCTGCCTGTAGAAATCTACAGGAGACAAGACCTGCACATGGAGAGAGAGCAGCAGCGACTGGTCTTTATTACAGGAAGGTACTGTACAGAAGTCAGACGACTATTTCGATGGTGCTTACCACGCAGGTGTTGTACAGTGCCCCCTTCCAGAAGCAGGTCGTGCCATGTGTCATGCCATGAATCTATACCCCCAGATTTATGTGGGCATGCCATTTTTTTCACATCAATAATCAGAAGTTGGATTTATAACAATGTGGGGGAAAAGGATGAGCAGACTAGGGCTGCAACTAACGATAGGGGGGGGCAACGATTCTTATTATCAATTATAACCGATTTGATGTTGCAGCCCCAGAACAGACACAAGCCTCATCTCTGCCTTTTCCTGGACTCTAAACATGGGTTTGCCATAACGCTTGCTTCTTGTATCCGGTGTGTATCCGCAATTACACCTGCCGATATTCTCCGACAAGTCCAGGGGTCACGTTCTGTTTACTACAGAAGTTCTGGAGGAAAACAATCTTCTTCAATATGAGCATACATACATCTGCTCATACCGTACACCCAGCAATAAACCAGACAGACAGCGTGGCAACTGCGGGTCACTGTAGCTGCAGCTGTCACATACAAGACCTTCACGCTGACAAGTGCTAACTGAGCTGTGTATACCTCATCACTTTATCAATCAGGAACACCAAATGGAAGACAATCCAAAAGACACAACACTCATATACTTTAATGTAACAAATAAAAACAAAGAAAAGCTTGGTAATAGTATGGTGCAACCATGGAGGTTCTAACTGCATGGAGTTTGTATGTTCTACCAAGTTCTGTACAGGTTTCCCTGTGTGCTCTGGTTCCTAACAACCGATCTGTGTTTGAAGCTGGCCATACCTTATACAATCTGATTGTACAACCTCCTTTAGGACTTACCACAAACTCTTTAGTTAAAGGAGAACTATGGGGTCAGTGTTTTTCCCCATAGTTCTCCTTAGGGTAACGGGAGGACACAAACTAGCGTCCTCCCGTTACCCTAAGCTCAGTATACCGCGAGCTACAGCTCGCGGTATACTGAGACGCCGCAGCCGGAGCGGATCCCGACTTAGCTGACGGGATCCGCCCAGCTGCGTGAGTGACAGCTGGCTCTGCCTATCTAGAGGCAGAGCCAGCTGTACCCACCCCCTCCCCCGTCCGTTCCGCCAGTCAGCGCTGGCAGATCGGAGCGGGGAGAGGGGAATCCAGCCCCTCCCCTGTCACGGCAGAGAGCCGTGACAGGATCGAGAGGTGAGCGAACCTGGTATGTGTTCGCTCACCTCCCGATCTACTGAGCCGACCTGTGACAGTCTCATTGTCACAGGTCGGCTAGAACTATGAGGTGAGTGGAAATAACTCATCTCATAGTTCTCCTTTAAGGAGCTGCCTGACTGGATACAAATTGAGAATTGTCTTGGCTTGTCCTTGTATTACATAGCTGTAATAAATCTAAAGAAGATGTACAATCAGATTGTACAGTGTATAGCCATCGTCACACACATCGAATAGGCCTCATTCAGATGTGCAATCTGGGGCAAACAGTTTGCAGCATTCAGAGGCAGTCAAAGCATTCTGTGCTATGGCTGCATACAACCACTAAGGCAGGGGTAGGCAACCTTGGCACTCCAGCTGTGGTGAAGCTACAACTCCAAACATCCCTCTGGGAGTCATGCATGTGGCTGTCAGTCTTGCAATGCCTCATGGGACTTGTAGTTTCACTGCCAATGTTGACTACCCCTGCCCTAAGGAATATGTGCTGCCTCAGCATTTAGATGAAGCAAGTTATTTCCAATATTTATATAGCACTGTATTATACGTGCATCAAACACAGAGCTGTGCCCTTGGAGCTCACAATCTACTATCCCATCTACAGTATATGAACAGATGCCTACTACCCCACACATCACATAGGCCTCATGCAGACGGGCGGCCTGGGGTGAATAGTTTGCAGCATTCAGAGGAAGTCCAAGCATTCTGTGCTATGGCTACATACAAACCAGCACATTAGCTGCGGCCACAGATATGCTGTCCCTGGACTCAACATGCGTCCATGGTCAGTCAGAGGCTCCATTTGTACAGAGTAAAAATGTGACAGCTGCTGCTGCTGGTCACAGCTGTTCACACACACACACACACTGAGTACATGCAGTTATTAGTTGCATCACAAGAATCAGTAGATTCTTACAGCCACGTATGTGGATGCGCCTTAACCTAGCAGAATGCTTTTAGTAAAATTGTACCCAAGAAAAATACATATGGTGCTTTACTAGTCCTTGGTAAGCTGTATTAGTTTTCTTTTTGTAGGTTTGTATTCCTGTGCGTTTACCCATTGATCCAGTCAGACACTTTGTGTCCTACAGTGACAACGCTCACTGACTGAACATTTATGCAGAAGAGTTGTCACCATAGGCCACTTGCTCCAGATTTGGACTAGAAGCTGACATCGAAGGGCCCATTCACACCAAAGGCTGTGCTAAACGCACAGCATGTGGTGTGCGGTGCCCATCACAGTGCTGAAACGCTGATCCCAGGTCATCACACTGTGTACTTTTATTTTTATTATTTAGAACTATATTGAAATGTCACAAGGGACATCTCATTCAGTTCTACGGGCACAGCAGGGTGCAAGGTGATTGGATGCAGGCATTAGTCAGGTGGTTTGACAGCCACCAGCGGGAATGACTAGCAAGATACTGAAGCTTGACCCAGAGGGAGATTCCTCCATTCACAAGGTTGGTGCCGCTTCACATCTGAGCGTTGTGTTGTTTGGAGATGATGCCAGTCACTGCAACAACAATTTTGTAGTCACACATTTTTTCCCCCATAGACTTCAGTGCGAGTGCCTGAAAACACACATAATGCACATTTTGTTGCACCCAACAATGGCTGCTTCCCCCTAGTAACTAGATTTCTAAAGCGAGCAAAAAAAAAGGGTCCATCACCCGCAAAGCGTCACACTCAGGTGTGAATGGGGCCTAAGGGATGACAATGGAGGAGCCACAAACATGAGGAACAGGCAAAACCCATGCAGTCAGGCACAGGAATGAAAGCCAATACACCAGTGCTGGAAGGTAGGAGAGGTTGCCGCTTAGCCGCCATACCCCAGCATTGTGACCCCCCTGTACTGGTAAATACCGTATTAGGAGGTTACCATATGGCACAGCAGCAGACACAACTGCAGAGCTTGCCATGAAAGGGTGTCCAGAACTGACCAATCACAGAGACAGTGTTCCATCTGTTATGATGCCCGCCCACTAGAGTACGGGGACAGCGGGGTGACAGGTGTGAGGACGGGTCACATGGCCATAGGTTCGAGCCGCTGTGTAAGGTCCATAGCATAGATGAAGGCTGTCACGTGATCCGCCAAGCTGATAAATGGCCCGGACCAGTCGGCCGCCACTCGCGCGCGCTTTTAACCCCTCCAGCGTTCAAGCGGGTGCCAGGACGACGTCACAGCCGCGCACAGCTCTCGGCGTCCCAGTGCCCCCACACATACAGCAAAGGAGACATGGCCAAGCAGCCCGTGACAGCTCCGTGCGATGTCTCCGCCTGCCGGCGGGAACATACATTCACCCGGCACTCATCTATGTAACGCTCTCCTACCTGGCCCGTCAACGTGATTCATTTCCCGGCTTCTCTTCGAATCGAGCCGAGTCCTGCTCCTCAGCGATCCTCTCTCCGCCATCTTGGCTCTTGGTTTTGAAATTAGGCCCACCCCTCCAGTGACGTTTCACCCAGTCTCCGCAGTCCAGAGAAGTGCTCTGACCCAGCGCTGGGATCTGCGTGAGCGCATGCGCAGAAGGCTGTCTGCTATCTGAGCTATCGAAGCGGAGAGCTGCTTCTATGACTATCATGTTCTCTGATTAGGAAAATCCTTGACTGGGTCATAAAATGTATCCTTTGCGTCACTGTGCTCTGAACTCGTTCCAAGAATTATGTTAAAGTAAACCTAATGCAAAAACATTTTTTTTTCTTCAATTTGGATAGTGTAGGGAAGACTTCAAACCCTGTCAGGCTTATTTTTTGCTATCTTTGTGGGGATTTCCCTTCTCTTCCTGTTTTACCGACGCAACAGGAAGTGAAAAATACATCTCTAATGCTAGGTTCACACCTAGGGAATTGAGCTGGAGAGCTGTTTTCTTGCGGTTGTGTGTTTTTGTTTGCCCAATTTTGCTTTGGAAACTGCTCGGTTTTCAATGCATAGAAATGTCTATGGAACCCAAACTGCGAGACAACCGGCGAAAATTGCTCCTGCGCTTTTTTGCACAACAGGCGATTTCTACCGCACAACAAATCGCAAAGGTGTGAACAGCTTCAATAGACTTGAATACAAATCTCTGTTTTGCACGATAAGTCGCCTAGGTTTGAATCTAGCCTAAAGCGGTAGATTATAGATTGTCACCTGGACAAGCTTCCCTATTGAACAATTTATCCTCCATTCCATTTCTGGGGAGGCAAAGTTCACTTTTGAGACCATTTTGCACCAATATTTAGGCTGTAACATGAAACATGGTCACATAAACCATGAGACACAACTCAAACTGTCCCCCTTACCTGAATTGCAGGGGTGCTTTTTACTGGAGATGTCTTATGTGGTTTAAATTCAGTGGGCCGTCTTTAATATTATTTGGTCCCTGGGCAATCATTTTCTTGGTTCCCCGCCATGCCGTGCCCCCATGCAATTTTGTTATGCAGAGGGAGACGTGACCCCACATGAGACATCACATGGTCACACTACACATTGTATGGTAAGGGCGGACCAACACAATGCCGATCGCATAGTAAACAACGTTGCTGCGTGTGTATATTTTGCATGCTCAAGGGGCAGCTGCTTTGGGCCTCACTACAATGACTGGGCCGGGGGCGACTGCCCTTTTTGCCCTGCGTTAAAGACAGCCCTGACCATACAGCTGCATCTTCCATTCACTGGGATCCATTAATGGCAAATACCACAAGCCGGTCTGCCAGAGGGACTCATAGAGCGTGCCAGCAGCAATTGTAGTTCATTCAGAACTTCATCTAATCCCTCTGGGGCTGGGGATAAACAACACACAGGCCTGTCAATTGCACCCACAACACCCGTGGATCCGATTGTGGTTGCGATGCTCTGGAGGCCTGAATGCAAAATGTAATAAATGCTTGTTTTTTTATTTTACCAATGATGGTGGATTTATATATATAGATATATAGATATATAGATATATAATTATTTTTTTGTAAAGGTGGACTATGGCTTTAAACATTTGTAATATCACAGGGACAGTAGTTAGAGTGAATCTCCCCAGCGGTGACGCACATAGCAATAAAAATCCAGCAAGATGTCAGTGGCTGCCAGGAGATGGGCGGGACGCCGAGCTGGGCAGGGAGATGCAGGGCCCCCCAGACACACACACGCACACACACACACACACACACACACCAAACCCCCCGCCGCCTCCTGAGGTGACAAAAAGGCTAGGGAAAACAACAGACTATCTGACATGCTGTATGGGTATCAATAAAAACATTTTTGAATGAAGATAGGAGGTGTGCTGGTAATATATTTTCTTGCTTGGATTCAGGGGTGGATGTGTATAGTTGCAGCCTCTGAGCCTGTACAAAACAATGGCAGGCTGACAACTGCCACAGTTGTCCTCTGGTGTTCAGATGTGATCACCCATAAAGCGATTACCTGCAGTTAGGGACAAATGATCGACCCTGGACACAAACAGCTTGATCATCTGTCTCTAACCACAGGTAATCACTCCATGGGTGATCACATCTGAACACTGGCGAAAAGCCTGTCATTGCTTTGTACAGGCTCAGCAGCTGCATCTATCCGCACTCGCATGTAATTCAGTATCCGTATACTTTGCCGCACTCCTTACCGGATATCCCAAAAGTAATGATTGCTTGTAATGACTGCGGATGGTGCAGCTCACAGTAAAACTTTAAAGGAGAACTATGGGGTAAGTGTTTTTCCACATAGTTCTCCTAATGGTCACAGGAGGACCAAAGCTCAGTATACCGCGAGCTATAGCCCCCGGTATACTGAGACCGCCGCAGCCCGGACGGATCTCGGCATTACTGTCGAGATCCACCCAGCTGCGTGATTGACAGCTGGCTCTGCCTATCTAGAGGCAGAGCCAGCTGTACCGGCCCCCTTCCCGTCCGTTCCGCAAGGCACCGCCGGAGGTTCGGAGCGGGGAAAGCCCTGCAGGGAGCCGTGAGTGACAGTCACGGCTTTCTGCAGGGACATGAGCGAGCGACGGTATGTGTTCGCTCACTTCCCGATCTATTGAGCCGACGTGTGACAGTTTCATTGTCACACGTCGGCTCGAACTATGAGGTTGAGTGAAAATCACTCACCTCATAGTTCTCCTTTAATACAGATGTAACCAGCAGGAAGATTCCATATCAGTGCAAATCCATTTTATTGATAGATGTCATTCAAACGACTAGCGCTTTCGGGGCCGCGTAGGGTCGTAGGGTCGGGGTCGCGTAGGGTCCCCTTCATCAGGCTCAGAAATGATGTGACGTGATCATTTCTAAGCCTGATGAAGGGGACCCTACGCGACCCCGAAAGTGCTTGTCGTTTGAATGACATCTATCAATAAAATGGATATGCACTGATATGGAATCCTCTGCATTGTTGCCTCAGCTGGCACATTTTTGCCATATGAATGAGGCTTGAGGCACAATGTAAAGAAATGACAAGCTGAAAAGAGAACGCAAAGAGCAAGCCTTAGTAGTATGCTGCTATCCAGTATATCACATTTCACATTGAGGTTTTAATAACACGTTAATGACTCTAAACAAGGCACTGTTGGCTGATATTATTACAGACGAGGGATGCCCTTTTCTTCAAGGACACAGCGAGAGTGCACAAAGGGTTCACAACAAAATATTATAATCGTCATACTCACTGAATGCTCACACAGCCAACAGTAGAGATGAGCAAAATTGAGGGTTTTATTTCCAGCAGATATTAGGAAAAATTAAGAGATTTAAGTGGCATTCTGGCAAAATGCATTGCAGTCAATGGGGAAGGCAAAGCTAAGGTTGGTTTTGGGGATTGTTAGGGGGCAGTAGGCTTTAAAGAAGTATTAAACGTTCACATTTAAAAAAAAAAATGAATTCAGATCAAACAAATATACTGTACATTGCCCCGCAAAGTATTTCTTTACATTTTTGCCCAAACGCTTACAGTCATGTTTCCAAGATTTCCAGATTGGCTCCAACTTTCTTACCTCCACGTCCCTGAACTTCCTGTCCAGTACAAGATCACATGGGAGAGTACAGTCTCCAGCAGCCCTCCATCTACTAGTTTGGAGAAGGGAGGAGTGGGGGATAAGGGAATGGTCTGCCTTGCAGTGCCTGTGTGGCACACACACAACGGTGGCTCCATAGGAACCTGCAAGGGAAAGGAGTCCCCCTAAAACAGGATGCCAGTCCTTTCCTCAGGAGACTAGCCAGTTCTGCAATAATCAGAAACTTTTGAACATCGAGGAGCAGCACCCTGTAAGTGATTTAATCAGTTACTTGAAATCACTTGAAATAGCTTAAAGGAGAACTATGAGGTGAGTGCTTTTCACTCATCCTCATAGTTCTAGCCGACCTGTGACAATTAAACTGTCACAGGTCGGCTTAGTAGATCAGGAAGTGAGCGAACACATAGCGGTGTTCGCTCACTTCTCGATCCTGTCACGGCTCTCTGCTGTGACAGTGGAGGGACTGGCTGGATTCCCCCCTCCCCACTCCGATCCTCCAGCGCTGACTGGCAGAACGGGCGTGGAAGGGGGCGGGTACAGCTGGCTCTGCTTCTAGATAGGCAGAGCCAGCTGTCACTCAAGCAGCTGGGTGGATCCAGTCAAATGTCTGCATCCGCTTCAGCTGCGGCGTCTCAGTATACAGCGAGGTGCAAGCAAAGCCAAAACCTTTTTTTTGTTTGTTATTCACTGTGATGAACAAATGCTGGAAGATCTTCAGAGTAAACATTCCAGGTAAAAATCATACCCATATCTTCAAAATAACAACAAACACACCTTTAGAAATGTTTAGTAATGACAATCTACAAACAGATACTTCTTTATAATTGCCGGCTTTGTATTCTTTGCATACTTAATTTCTTTTTTCTTCCCCAGTCTTCTGACAGTGGCCATGGGGCAGATTACTAGCTCCCCTATTACTTCCTGGAGTACTGGCAAATGTGACTAGACATGTGACTAGGGCATGTGACCATACACATCATCTCAGGGGAGGAAAACGCCTTTCCCTGAGATCTCATGAGATTACAGATGCGTTTTCCCAGCAATGCCATGCTGATATAACCTTCCCAGTGTGCATTGCTTTGCCAAACTGAAGTGATTTTATCCTTTCAAAGCAGGAAGTGAATGTTCTGCAAATGTAAGTATTTAACCTCTTGCCATCCGCCCGTAGTAGAAAAACGGACGGACGGCACTGCTGCATACAGCATTTTACAACTAACATGTCTATGTTATTATTAATCATCATACATAGAGGGGTGCATTGGTAGAATTAGATTTTTGAGTGTAAAGGTCCGCTTTAAGGAAATCACAACAATATAGTCCAGACAAACATAAGGAAATATTATTGGGATCCTGCTTTGTGCTCCCGCCTAATGAAAGTTACAACAAATTCAAAAAGATAGTAGAAATCCAAGCCTTAGCAAACCAACACTTCCACACCTTTTAGCATTCATCCACCAATCACCTT